GGCTGCTCGCTCTGCTCCGGGGCGCCGCCGTCCTCTTCACCGGCTCTTCCCTCTCTCCCGCCAGGGGCCTGGCCCTCAACGGCAGCAGGGTGGGCTGGAACCAGACGCAGCACTGCAAGCTGCTGGAGGGGCTGGTGCCCGACCAGCTCCAGCTCTGCCGGAGGAACCTGGAGCTCATGCCCAGCATCGTCCAGGCGGCCCAGGAGACCAAGAGCGTCTGCCAGAAAACCTTCTCCGATATGAGGTGGAACTGCTCCTCCATCCGCCTCGCGCCCGCCTTCGGCCCCGACCTCAGCAAAGGTAAAGCCCCCCCCATCATGTTGGGGGTTTAATGCTGTTGTGGCCCTGCAGTCATAGTCGGAGAGAAGTGGGGCAGGAAGGGACCTCCAGAGGTCCTCTAGTCCAACGCCGTCGGAGCCAGGATCGCCCCTATCCAAACCATCCCATGCAACCATCATCTAAATCCTTTGGTTGTGACAGTTTTCCCACTCACCCAGTCCAGCAGTTTTCACATGCGAAATTTCCATCATCGGCAGCGGACCATATTCTTACTTCGGCCGCACAGAGGTCACTGGAATTGGAGAAGGTGTTACACTATTGTAACTGGTACCAGAATCAGTCCTAGAGCACGCGGAGATGGCAGAGTAACCGTTACCATCTGTGGAAGGAGTGACAGACCTCAACTACCACATAAAAAAAAAGAGGGAGAGAGGGGAGCAAGCTGCTGGAGGCTCTGGGATGAGGGGAAAGCTAATTTCACAGGGAAGTAAAGGGCAAAAGTAGGACCAGAAAGGAGTGCACAGAAGGGGGCACAAAAAGGCATCTCGTAATTGGTAAAGGAGAGTGCTAAAAAGTAAAGCAAGCCCATTTAGAAGGGACTGGCAGTGCCCCATCTTCAAAATGTTGGGGCAGGGGGAGCAATGAGCCCTATTTGGGGGAAAGGCAGGTCTCCAGTTGCTGTCATAAAAGAAATAGAGAATCTGTGCCTGGCCGGCTGTCAGAGATGTAGTTCAGCGGCTAAAGCAAAGCCTTCAGAGTTTATAGTCCAGTGTTCTCCTCATGCGGCTGCTGGTGTGACTGAGAGGAATCGCTCCCTCCCCCCACCCAGCACCTTGCTTTCTCTTTCTGTGAAGTGGAGAACATTGCTAATCTACACCAGAGTTTTAGGAGTTTGTGCGATGCCCTCAATCATTGTGCTGAGTGCTCTGAAAGCCTTGCCTGAGAAAAGCTGTACTTAATCAGCACTCCCCGGCAAAGGTGCCCGTGGAACTACCAGCCATTCCCCACTTTCAGCCCATCAGGGCTACAGCCAGAAAAAGCAGTGTCCTTCCCGCCTCCCCACCCTACATTGAGAACTCCACTTGTTCTTGTGCTGCTAGGGTCCATATTGTAATCTTTCCAAAATTTGCCAGTCAGCCTCACTCATATAAGTACAAGGCAGGGAGGGTTCTGGCTATTAAATGACTTGCTCTGTGACACAGGAACCACTTTACCTTGTTGTTTCTGGGCTCCAGGACACTGATTTTTTCCCCCCCACCTTCTTTACAGGGACCAGGGAATCTGCCTTTGTCTATGCATTGGCTGCCGCCACTGTCAGTCATTCCATCGCCCAGGCCTGTGCCTCTGGAGAGCTGCCGATCTGTTCTTGCGGATCTTTCCCAGCTGAGGTCCCTGGGCCTGACTTCAAATGGGGTGGCTGTGGAGATAACCTCCGCTATGGCCTCCAGATGGGTTCTGCCTTTGCAGATGGTTCCATGAAGTCCAGCAGATCGGGGACACAAGCTACCAGGCTTATGAATCTACATAACAGTGCAGTAGGTCGACAGGTGAGTATGGTCACGAGATACTCAAACTGGCAAAGGAAACCACCACAACAGGGGTGCTTCTTTTAAGAGAACAGGGATGGTTCCAGCTGAGCTGTTCTGAGAAGGGGTGCAGACTCTTGGGAGACTGCTCATGAATAAACTCTGGGGGCAACTGAAGGAGTAAAGTAACTTCATAACAAAGGTCTCCCCCACACGTTACAGAAGCAGACAAAAGTGCTTGCTTCCTAATCTCTTATTGCTCTCTCCTTATATCCCCACAATGGATGTGGAGGCTGGAACTGGCTTTGTACTTTACCCTTGGAGCTAATCTGAGCTTCTCCGCAGACCCCTTGTCCTCTTCTGTGCTGATAGCAAACACCATCCAACAAAGGGCATTGCTCACAATTAGTCAGGAGCCTGAGGACAGCATTTGATGTGCATGAATACAGCAGATGGCAGCTGCTGTATGGAGAGTGATATGCAAAGACTACATAGATCTTGATATGCAGGCAAGCTGCTTGAATCAATATGGTGAATTGCCATCTCTGTGCCACACTTCTGAATGAGGGTAGGTAACTTCAGGCCCCTTAGCAAAATTACTGGTGGCATTTGTCCTAATGGCCACTCTCTTCTCATATGGCAAGGAAGCCAGAATAAGTGAGCTTTGGGTCACAGTGTCAGTCTTGATGCAGAAATGGAGGAAGGCATCACCTAGAGGAAGTGAGATGAGGCTTCATGACTGGCAATGGATGGTTGGGTTTTTTCTCATCCTGAAGCCTCCTGTGGATCTTCTTCTGAATACCCCACTAGGAGGTGTGGCTCAGGCAGAAATGGCTGAATCCCAGCCTGGACATATTGCTCTGATTGATTTATTTATTTTATTTCTTTTCCAGGTATTGATGGACTCCCTGGAGACCAAGTGTAAATGCCATGGCATGTCTGGCTCCTGCTCAGTTAAGACCTGTTGGAAAGGGCTTCTAGATATGGGTAAAATTGCTGCTGACCTCAAGGCTAAGTACCTGGCAGCCACCAAGGTGACCCACCGGTACGTGGGTACCAGGAAGCAGCTGGTACCCAGAGAACTGGACATCAGGCCAGTGCAAGAGACAGAGCTGGTTTATCTAGTCAGTTCTCCAGACTACTGCACAAAGAATCCCCAGCTGGGGTCTCTGGGGACTCAGGACCGGTAAGCAACAGTTCTAGATGCTCTAGCTTCCTGTGTTATACAGCTCAGACTCTTAACACCCAGAGCTCCCATTCAGCCTCTGTAGTTCAACTTAGAAGCCTTTCTCTTTAAACACCTGCCTGAATGACAATCTCTGCTATAATCCAGAGGCTATGCCATGCAGACAGTTTGAGTGCAAGGGAGCGAGGCTGCTCCAATTACAAGATACTGCAATCTGCATACATCTGCTTTAATAAATTATCTAGATCCACCGTGTTCCCTGCTCAAGGTGAATCATGTAGCTGACCTGAAGAGGGTTTAGCAGAGGAGGAAGATCTAAAAGTTGGAGCAAAGACCCAACCCATATAGTTCTATCTTCCCTGGGATTTCCAGTAGTTTAGATTGGACCCCATCCATTTCACTATCATCTATTTCATTAGGGCTGAGACTAAACCCTGGGGTGGAGGCTTGTAGGGAGGAAGCATTCTTCAGTTCAATAGGTGTTTTACTGAGTGTGTGTGTTTTTTAATGCTGCTTAGGTACAGGGTGGTGAGTGCCTTCTGCATTCCAGTTTGGCACTGCCCAGCCCTGCTCTGAGGCACAAGAGCTTACTAGTCTGGGAGTGGAGTCAAAGAGGAAAATTATTCACCTTGCTCTGAGTCAGTGGGAATTTCATACTTGGTATAAGATGGGATCCGTATGCCCTGGGAGACCACCATGGAACTTCATCCAGAGAAGCAGCCCCCCGCCCCTCCCCCAGGACTGTCCCCCAGTGCCTCTGGGTAGCTTTCCATGAAGGCTAGTCAGATGCCTACTCTGACTCACCCCTGTCCCTAAGTATGCCATGACTAGCACCTTAATGCTGCTGCTCCACTGTATTCTTGACTCCTCCATCATCTCCTTTCCCTTTGCAGGCAGTGCAACAAGACATCTGTGAGCAGCGACAGCTGCAATCTGATGTGTTGTGGGCGTGGATACAATGCCTACACTGAGATTGTGGTGGAGAGGTGCCACTGCAAGTACCACTGGTGCTGCTATGTGACTTGCAAGAAATGTGAACGGACAGTGGAGAGATATGTGTGCAAGTGACATAGGCCTTTGAGCAGCTTCTGCGGTAAGAAATGCTGAAGGACTCTTACCCAGGCCCCTCCAGAGTCTGTCTGGTTACAGTACATGGGAGAGGCTGTGTGACTAGAAGAAGAGCCCAGGCTTAGCATTGCTGTGGAAGACCTCAAATGTGCATGTGGGGGGAAAACAGGCCTAGCGCTGTCTTCAGTCCCACCCCTTCCAGAGCAGAACAAAGGGCTGCCTCCTGGGACTCATCTGGTTTGCTTCAATCCTCAGTCTCCAGCTGTGGACAAATAATTTATCACTTCTGCATGCATGGATCCCTTTCTGCCCTGGTGAATGGGGACCCTGGGCTGCCATTGTTTCTTTGGGGGAGGCTTTTGAAGGTGGCCTGAAAGACAGACATGATGGATAAGGAAGGGTGATGGGGAGAGAAGAACATGAATGCCCCTCAACTCAACAGGGAAAAGTTGTAGGGGAAGAAAGAACTGCTGCTCTTGCTGAGGGGGCAGGTCATGGGCAGGCACTTTTGGGACAGGGCTCCCTTGAAGGCTGGTCCAAGGCCACCAGATGCTTCAGCTGCAGGGCAGTCTGTTCAGTGTCTTCTGTAGCATCAAATTTTCTCTCTAACAGTAAGACCAAGGGTGGTAACAGGTGGGCCTCATAGCAATTCATTGCCCCAAGAGACAGGGTACTGTAAGATGCTATCCTCTGTCTCTGCCAGGTAAGGGACACTTCCTAATAGCTGTGCTGGGCATGGCACGAAACCTAGAAAGGAGGACCTGGAGGATGCAGATATAGTGAATGGGCTGGCAAGTTCTCTCTGCCCCTTGGGTCAGTCTTTCTCCAGGGATATTTCTGCAGCTGTCTCACCCTCACATCCACGTGATGGAGAAGCCATGATAGAGGGTTTACACTAGCAATAACTCCAGGGCCTTTCTATGGGGGTTGGAAATGAGACGGAGTCTTTGATCTCTCTTCTTATTTATTTGGTGTTTTTTAAATAAATATAGTACAGCATCTTGGCCTGAGCTTCCTTTGTGATGTCCATGGTGGCTTTGCACTCCACTTCCCACCCCCAAGGGTGCATCCAGTGCACACTGCATCCTTGTGAAAAATGAGGGGAAGGGCCCTTTTCACTCTCAGAAGAGTCTTTATGCTGCCCCCACCTTTTTCTTCGCATCAGTTCCATCTTCTACTGTTGTGGCCAGACCCATGTTTCCCTATATGGACATAGCAGCTTGAGTGTTTCTCTGGGCTCTGCAGATCTGATCAGTGGGTGAGCCAAGCAGCTGGAGTAGAGATCAGGGCTGGTGAGCTTTGTAGAGTGGGAAGATTTTCTCTCCCCTTCCTCTGCTTTTGGTGGACTAAACTCACACTAACATTGGCCTTAGGAACCTCAGCTCCCACCAGCTTCCTGGTGGAAGGAGAGCATTTCCATTGTTGCCTAATGCCCGAGGGAAAAAACATATTCTAACTGAGGATGTGCTTCAGGATGGGGTATGAAGGTCATGGCTCTGTCCACTTGGCTCTTGGGACTCTGTGGCAGCTGCTGATACTGATTTAAAAAAATACTGATTTTAAAAACGAAATGAACAGTCCTGTTCTGGCCCTCAAAAGTTGAGCCCAGCCATGGTGCTGTTCACTCCCATATTTAATTCCATTTTTTAAAAATGCCATTCAGGAGGTGGGGAAAAAGACATTCCATGATCAATGGAGATTTTTGTTTGTTGTCAACTGCTCCTAACCTTTGATGCTGCAGGCTTTTGTACCAACAGTGAATAGCTGCATCTCACAGATTGTTAGCAGAGTTAGAGGTAGTTTCAGATGCATCCACCCATGAGCTGGAAGTTAAAAGTAATCAGAGGGGGAATAGCTAACTGCTAACAATGAATGTGTATCATTAGATTTCAGTGCCTTGCTGCAGGCTGTTCGCAGACTTGGTTAGGTATTGCTCCATTTAGGTGCCATTTGAAAGGTTTCTTCACAACTATACATGGGCCTCAGTCTCACATCTGAAGCTGAGCACATGGGTATAACCAAAGAATTTCGTTCATAAAGAAAAGGAAGTTTCCATACCTGTTGGTGTAAATTTCCTCCTGTTGTCTTGGGGCCTGCTGAGCCTGCAATCAGCAACCCAGCCAGCAGCACACTCATTCATTCCAATGGAGAGGTAATGTTGGCCTTTAATTCATTCATTAGTGCCTCTGACCAGCAGAAGACAAAGCCATGGCAGGCACATCTCAAGCTGGAGAGGCAGGTAAAGTTTGCTAAAAATGTGTCTGCTAAGATATGTGAAATGGGGAGAAGCTGTGAACCTCACTGAGCACTTTAAAACATGCTAGTGAGGTTAGAAACATGGGCAGGATACTGCAGAATGAGATTCAGCTTGGAGCCTAGGAAAGGTAACTCAAATGCGCACAAATAGCCAGGAGGAGGAGGGAACCTGGGAAGTGACAATAGCTGCAAATGCCCTGGGGAGATAAGGGACAGTACATCAGATAAGTGAGACCCTTGTGGGAGGAGTTTGCATACTATATGCACATTTCCAGTGGCATAAGGAGATTATTTAGAGCTGAATATGCAGACACATAACTGGATCACTCAGGATGGCCTCCCTCTATGTGGCATTGGTGACTTGAAACTGGGATCCTGCATTGTCCTGAGGTCCATGCCATCGTTCAAAGCAACAAGGACAAGGGGATGGAAAGGGCTGATTAATGAGTAGTGATTGAAGTGTTAACTAATGGTGGAGGAAATTTGATAAAATAAAATGTGCTGGATGTAAGCACTAGGATTGGGGCTAATTACTTAGGGTGACTGATGTAGGCCTAATTATGATGAGTCGTAGAACAAAGGAACAAAGGAAACATCTAGGTTAGGTTGGCCTTTTTGCCCAGTTATATAACATTTAATCCCACCTGATTGTGAGATTGATTAAATTCAGAGTTTCCCAAGGGGAAGGGCAGACAGCTGGGACAATTACTTTCTAACTCCACTTAGTGAGAGGGTCCTCTCTAGGAAGCTGAGTAGCAGGGGAATTTCCAATAGTCAGAAATTTAGAGATGGAAAAGGGTCAGTCAGTCATTTTGTTCTCCTGTGTTTTCTACCATCCTTGGTCAACCAATGCAGGGCTCAGGTCTAAGTGTATCTCAGGAGGCAGCAACTACTATAGGAGGTATTACATAGTTCAAGAGCTTGCTGTTAGGAGTGTTTCTTGACTTTATTCCCTACTGTTTACTTTCATCTTGTGGTCCATTGCTACATACCTTGGGCCCCTTTAAAACAACCCCTATCACTTTGGTGTATCTCATCACCAAAAGGCAATGTCACCTTGAATCAGGATCCCTGACATCGGAAAGCTGTCAGAACAAGGGACCCCCGCCCCCAAACTGTATGTAATTTTACTGTCCTCTCCAGTTTGAGAACTCCTGAAGAACTCAAGAGAAGCAAGCTCCTTCCAAGCCTTCCTTGGTCTCTTTCTGCACATAGCATTTGCACTGAAACACATGCTTAGTTCTCAGTCACCATGTTCCAAACCATAGGAAAATATCTGATTGAATGTTCTGTTCACCTCTCATTTTATCCTAGACAGTCAATATTCACCTGTATCAGACTGCTGTAGTCTAATCTTATGTTATTCACCCATTCCACTTTCTAGGACCCCCAGGTGGACACTGGAAAAAAAGCTGGACAGATTTAATTCTTTTAATCTGTCCTTCTGAATCAGATGGGAAGCATGTCCCTAGGATCTTCTTCTTCAAGCCTCCAGTTAGTCTGTCTCCCTGCCTACAAGGTTCCCTGTGCTCACTTGTGTTAAGTATGACCTCAGCTGCCAAGGGACTGTTTCACTTCATAATGATGTGAGTCAGGGGGGGAATAGCTTGAACGGGGTTTCCTTTTACTTGGTTCCTCTGAATCCAAACTTAAATTCCCCACTGGGAAGCCTGGGAGGTACCATTCTAAGTAGCACAACTACAGAAAGGGATCTCAGAGTCGTAGTCAACTCCAAAATGAACACAAATCACTAGTGTGATGAAGTAATAAGTAAAGCTAACCGCACTCTTTCTTGCATCACAAACTGGCCTAGGGAGGTGATACTTCCTGTCTATGCGGCATTGGTCAGGCCGCAGCTGGAGTACTGTGTCCAGTTTTGGGCACCACACTTAAGAAGGGATGTGGATGGCCTGGAGAGGGTTACGAGGAGGCCACTTGTGGTTAAAGGCCTGCAAAAAAAACCCTATGTGGACCAATTGGGAGACCTGAACCTCTTCAGCCTCTGCAAGAGGAGGCTGAAAGGTAATCTCGTGGCTGCCTACAAACTCATTCGGCGGGGGGTGCCGCAAGAAGTTGGGGATACAATGTTTACCAGGGCACCTGTCAGGGTAACTAGAAATAATGCCAAAAACTGGAAGACAGCAAATTCAGATTGGACATCAGGAAAAAAATTCTTTACAGTGAGGGTTGCCAAAATATGGAATAGGCTTCCAAGGGAGGTGGTGCTGTCCCCTTCCTTGGAGGTATTTAAAAGGAGATTGGATCTGACCCCAGCATTTACTCCTGCCCAGGGCAGGGGGTCAGACTCCATGATCTAATAGGTTCCTTCCGATCCTAACATTTATGAAACATGATCAGGACCAGATAATGGAAACTCATCCCAAACAGCCTCTTCCAGAACTCCTACTTCTCACCTCTTTTCCTGCCTTCCAAAGGCATGCTGGCATGGGTGTAAGGATATTACATTGAGGTTGATGTATACAAACATTACACTGGCTAATCCACACAAGCTGTTGAGCCTGGATTTATTCTCTGTAGAGAGACAGCAATTTCAGGTTTCTGATTTTGACTCTAAACCACTTTGTTCAAAGCAATAAACACTGGCTTTTTTTTGCTCAGACTTCCATATAAAACATCACGTAGCCAACCTTATAACGACTAAACTCTCACTGGGGGAAAACGGTCAGGGAGGGGGGTCCCAGAGTTCAGTAACAAGATAGGTTTGCCTCCCTTCTGCCTTTTTTAGTTAGGGCCCTGAGACTGCAGCCAGAGGTGACGTGTAGCACGTGCCTCCCAACCTCCCTGACCGGGCCATCTCCACTGCCAACACGTCTGCGGGAGCTCACCAGCTCCACCAATGCTGCCGGAGGCGTCTGCAGGTGTCCCCCCCAGACTCAGGAGGCACCAGTCACCTCTGGCTGCAGCTTTGAGAGAAGGTTAGGTTGAATTTCCCTTCCCCTAAGCAGAGCTGTCAGGCTTAGTGTGCTCCTGGCAGGCCAAACAAGTGACGAAAGCCTTGGAGGGGTTCATCTTCTTAGAAACCTATTGTATCACTTAAGTGCAGTACTGTGGATACTCTTGTGACATGACTTTGCCCTTTGGAGGGCTGCTGTCTACATTAATAATGCTTTTGTCTTGTGGTGCAATAAACATTCATCTGAAGGAAAACCCCTTCCACATCTCTGTTCTGCTTTATCCCTTTTCTTCTGGAGTGGGCCACTACATCATAATGTCAAACAATGAAAGGGACCGTCCCTGTGGGGATCTACACTTCAGGGATGGAGACAATTTAACATAGATGAATATGAAACTAGTGGGATGCTGGAACTTGACCTGACATCCTCCGAAAGTAAATGAAAGAAAGGCAGAGAGGAAATGGTCTTGGTGAGGATACCTGAAGGCCCCTTTATTTAGGTTGAGTCTTTACCTGAGGTCAGGATGTTTCTGATCAAACTGGCCTCCCATTGCCCATCTCTCCATACTGCTTCACTTCTTTTTGTCTTGTTCCTGGTAGCCAACACTGTTTCCTAGGTATTGGGCCATTATGGCCATTCCAGTTTAGTTTGCATAGCATCTCTGAGGTAACCTTTGCAATGGGCTTTTCCTTAAACTGTTTTGCTGTGGTAGGTAGTGGCTGCTGACAGACACAAAAAAACCCCCCCAAACAATGTGCTTTACTGGAAGAAGCAGCATGTTAGTTCAACTTGGGTCCATAGTGTCTGTATGGATTGGGTGCTTCAGCAGGGCTT